ATTAAACTAAAATAAAATGTAAAACACACACCTACACAAATATATTACAATGTGAGCAGACAATAATATGGGAAAAAAGCAAAGAATATATCTGGCAAGGTATTGAAAGTGGGCTTAAAAGGCAAAATAATAAAAAGTTTTCTTTTGTCTAAGCTTGTTTGGCGTTGGCAAAGTAGAAAGTTGCTCTACCACAGTCATTAACCAGCTAACGCTAACATTACTTTAATGAAGTTTTCATGCTTGTCAAGCTGGATAAAAAGTAAACACCAGCCAAGCAACCGGAGAGACTAACATTACCTTTTCTTACTTGAAAATGGAACAAACATGGGTTTTTGTAGTGACTTACCCTGCTGTCGAGCTCCCTTCTTAGTCAGCGATGACTCCGACATGTTTACAGGTGCTGCATCATCACTGTGGTGCTCCCGTGCCGCGCCATATCGCTGTTGCAAAGCTTGCAACTAACTCGTGTTTTTATGCATTGTGAAGTACTTCCACACTTTAGAAGATTTCGGTTGAACCGTTCTCTCCGTTCTGCCATGTTTAATATCTGAAATACCAGCTCCGCTCTCTCACACTCTAGCTCCGGCACGCTGTGCTGTCAGCATGTAAACTGTTCGGCATGCACATCACCAGTCTGCGACAAAGGGAGTGACGCATTAATTGCGCGATGCAACGAATCGATAATGAAATTCGTTGCCAACACTTTCATTAATCGATTTTTATCGATTTTATCGATTCGTTGTTGCAGCACTACTTTTAATCCTCATTCTTCCCTGCGGTGTTGATTGCCCTCATTGTCTTCACCTGTGTCATTAGTCTCACCTGTGTTTGATTATTCCTGTATCTATTTAAGTCTTTGGTTTGATTTGGTAAAGCCTGATCCTGTTTGCGTTTCCACAGCCAACCGTAGTTGTCGTACTCTTTTTTGGTAGGTGGCGTGTAAGCTGGATGCCGATAGCCGCGTCAGCTACGTAATAGCGTAACATCATAGCAGAGCGACACAGTATACCCCGCTAATAAATTTGACGAAGAAGAACACGACACAGTAAACAAAAAGCAACAATGGAGGACATCCAGCAATTCGTGGTCTTTCTCATTTGCTTGTGGTTCTTTGTTACAAAACGCAATGAAGCTTTGTTTCAGACAAGGATGTGTACTGAGAGGAAAAATACAGCCATCCTTTATTACCGCTGTCGCAAAGGAAGTGACGATTTCTTCGACCAATCAACGGACTGCAGTGTTTAGCTCCAGCTTTTAGGGTCGGATCGGTAGACTTGGCACCCCAACAGAATGGTAGCAAAAAGTAGGACGGTAATTTGGGGACCATTACCGACTTTTGATAGTGGAAACACCACAAAATGTGTGCCGTACCATGATGAACCGAACTGCTTGGTGGAAACGGGGCTTTAGTCTCTGTGTTTCTTACCTTCTGTGTCAGATCATCGTATGTCGGTGTTAGTTGTAGAAGGGTTAGTCTACGTCAGTCGATGTCAGTCTTTCTCAGTGTTTCTTAATGCTTACTAGTTTTTGGATTTTCTCAGTTTGGACATTTTGATAGTAAGTTTGTTTTGTCTCTTTGGCTTTGTTTGTTTAAAATAAATCTTTTTTTGGTTTCTGCACTTGGGTTGTCCTCTTAGTTTTTCCGGTTCATGACAGAATGATCTGACCACAAATGGACCCAGCTGATTTTTTTAGGTGTTACTCCAAGCCGTCTCCCTGGGAGGGGACAAGACCTGCTGTTCTCACTGGCACATGAGGTAGGAGGAGGGGCAGTAAGAGCTGACGATGTCCTCAATCTATATCCCCAAGCTCTCTGGTGGACTTTCTGCTGGACCTCTACTTGGAGCCAGGGAGCTCCACAGAACCTCAGCCACAGCAGCCAGTGAACCAGCTCAAGCCTCAGCCCAAGCCTCAACCTGAGCCTCAGCCTCCCTGTGCCTCAGAGCCTCAGCCTCACTGTGTCCCTGTTACTGCAGAGCGCCGTTTGCCACCATTTCCGGCAGAGCGCCGTCTGCTTCCAGCCCCTGTTCCTGCAGAGCGCCCGTCTGCCACAATTTCCGGCAGAGCGCCGTCTGCTTCCAGCCGCTGTTCCTGCAGAGCGCCGTCTGCCACAAGTTCTGGCGGAGCGCTGTCTGCTTCCAGCCCCTGTTCCTGCAGAGCGCCGTCTGCCACAAGTTCCGGTGGAGAAAACCCTGTCCCTAAACCAGCCTTGACATCATTGTTTGTCATTTGTTTCATTGAGAGCCCCCTGGTGGTGGAGTTCACATACTGTGTGTTTAAAGGCATATTATGTGACATTCTGATAAATAGCTAAAATCAGATATTCTCTGTGTAAATATTTTGTGGAGTAAAGACTTCCTGAAGAGAGTGAAGACAAAGTCCCTCTGGGCTTGTTGTTCTGAGCTCTGTGTTCACGCTGACAGGATTAACATCACTCAGAGGATCAAACCTGTGTCAGACGTGATTTTATACATTCTTCTGTCAGAAGACTTTTGCCAAGCCGGTGAGGTGAGACGTACAGAAGATGTCTGTTATTGATATCAGACACATAACTCACCATCAGAGTGTAGCCATTATCAGCAGCGTCTTACAACCTCTCTTCCTGCAGGACTCAGGACTGTGGATTAACATTCCTTACATTCCTTAAATTGATTACGTTTACCAAGGAACAAAGGAACTGATCAATGATTTAAGTCTCCCTCTCAGACAGGATGTTTTGAACTTTTACAACATCGGGAATAAATAACTGAGCGGAAACAGAACACTCTGCTATCTACGAATTAACCCCAAAGACATGAACTGTGACCGAAACCAGTCTCTGCAAAGTCGTAAAATTGACCATCTGTTGAAGGACTGCTGGAGAACTGATTAAACCACAGCTTTCAATTCTGCATCAAATGAACATTTATATCTTTCTTCATCTAGATATTTGTAATTGTCACATTGAATGTATTATAATCATCTTTTTAAACTCAAAATCTGATCTTCAGAACAGCAACAAGAGTTATATTATGTTTAATAGGAATTTGACATGGAGCGCTATTGCCATCTAGTGTTAGAATATCTATGAATACGTAACCTTCATAATTATACATTTAGACGTGTTATAAAGCATACTCTTTGATATTAGCTATAGAAGGTGTTATTTAAAGACACCAATTTCTTTTCCTACTTTATTAATATGTCTTATTAAGAATGCTGACTGTATAACATGTTTTTGTTCACCTACAGGCTGGGATTCACTGAGGATGTTCCCAGATGGTGTGATTTCCATCTCAACATGAATCTGATAGAAATGTTTGTTTAAATATATGACGTGAACCTACATCAACGTGGATCTGATAGAAATAATATCGAAATGAATGTATGGTGACGTATATATGTTTAGATTCTTATTCTTAATCTTATTGAGTAAACTCGGTTTAGTTTAAACAATTGTCCTCCGGTCAGAATGGTAGTCACCCGTGGGAGGCACCCCTCTTTGCCTGCAGACCCCCCTCCTCCCATCCAGGTGATAAGAGTTCACACTCAGCTCAGATCTTGGGTTCTTCTTTAGTTTTGGTTTGTGAAGTTTAGAGCTTCAGCTCACTCTCTTCTCTTCGGACTTTGGTCCGAATCACTTCTTTTAAGTTTGTGCCGTAGCGACGACTCTCTGCCGAACTTTCTTTTTCACGCACAATTTTTGGAACATTAATTCTTTCTGGCTCAAGCAAGGTTTTTGAACTTTCTTCTCCAAAGCCTTTGCTCTTCAATTCTGAACACCAATTACTTAGTTTGGATTCATCAAGATGGCCGTCCGGTTAATCTGAATTGGAAATCGACGTATCAAAAGACTCTTTAATATTTTTTTCTGTTAGATCCTCTTGAAGCATCTGAGACAACGGCTGAACCAACGTACAATCTCCATCCCAGCTGCACACTCTGATCAAGCTGTCAAGGCATCTAATCTGGCCCGTGGACCTCTCTGGGCCTGAAAAGAACCGCTTGCCAGAGACTGAAACGCGGGACCAGCCGGCGGAGTTCAATTGAACACATCTCACAGTAAGACTGTTGGTGGCAAGGGGTGTTGGAAGATTAAGTCATAAGTCGTGTCTATTCAGAGCCCTCCTTTAAATCCAAATCTGATTAAGTCATTCAAACAATACTGCGGCTTATCTCATTACGAAATATATAATGTCACCATACATTATAATTGCATTATCCTTATCACAATAATCATATTCTTTATCTGTTTCATCTATACATTATTGTTTACCCCTTTTATATTACATTTTACACATAAAATTCAGGACTTTGTCTGTGTGTTTTCTTGTTTAACATTTCCAGAACTTATTTCTTTCAAGATACGAAACTGACTGATTAATTAATTAACTTATACCATTAAAGTTATTTTCTTCCTTTAACAGGAAGTGGTGCCCCTTCTTAAATCCGAGGTTAAATAAAGATATAACATCTTAATAATTCAATTACGCTACAAGAGTGAGACACCCGGGCAGGTGTGTGATTCACACTTCAGCTCTTTTTCTAAATAAACAGGGACATGTTTTTCCTTTTTCTCAGTTCAATAAAGAAAAGTAAAGTTGTTGTCAGATTCAGATTTGATTGTTGTCCTGTGAAATCCAGAGATCCACAGCTGTGGTGCGTGAGTGCTGTTGAAGCTGGATGGCAGCTCATCATCAGAAACTAAAGGTGGAAATCTGGAGTCAAAGACGTCATGTCCTTGTCCCCTCTGCGGAGCTCCGTGCATCCCTGTAGGAGGGACGACAAGCGGAGGGGAAGACGTGGTTACATTTTAAGAGACGCTGCTCAGTTGGAGGGAGAGACTCGGAGTGTGCAGCATGTGAGCAGATCGGTGTTTCTTGGTTCATTTGTTGTTTTGGTGACTCAAAGGTTCACTTGATACTCGGTGTGAGTATGTTTTGAAATACAAACATGGCTTTTGTTGTGCAGTAGGAACACCGTATGACTTCTCCATGTTCATCCTCTACATGATTTGAATCATGATCAACTCCACACATGGCTCATATTTCACTCTGGGAGCCTACATGGAAACAGGGCTTCTCAAATATCTCTTTTTCCTGATAACTCTGACTTTGTATGTTTTAATAATCTGTGCGAACCTGTTCCTCATCGTGGTGATCTGTATGAACAGAAGTCTTCATGAACCCATGTACATCTTCCTGTGCAGCCTGTTTGTAAACGAGCTGTTTGGTAGCACATGTTTGTTTCCTCTCCTCCTGGTTCAGATTCTCTCAGACGTTCACACTGTGTCTGCTCCTCTCTGTTTCCTGCAGATCTTCTGCTTGTACTCTTACGGGGCAGTCGAGTTTTTTACTTTAGCCATCATGTCTTATGACAGGTATCTTGCTATTTGTTATCCTCTACATTATAACACATGTATGACCCCCAATAAGATTTCTATGCTCACTGCTCTGATCTGGCTGTACCCATTCTTTATCAACGCTGTCATCGTGTTTGGTCTGACCTTTCCTCTGCAGCTGTGTGGGAACATCATCAACAAAGTTTATTGTGACAACTATTATGTGGTCAAACTGGCGTGCTCTGACACAACGCTCAATAATGTGTTTGGACTTAGTCACATGTTTACGGTGATCTTTGGTCTTATCGTTCTAATCATTTACACGTACATCCGGATCCTCCACGTGTGTTTCTGTGGATCCAAGCAGACAAGGCAGAAAGCCGTCAGCACCTGCACACCTCACCTGGCCTCTCTGCTCAACTTCTCCTGCGGCTGTTTCTTTGAGATCGTCCAGAGCAGGTTCAACCTTTACAATTTACCAAATATGTTGCGTGTTTTTTTGTCCTTATACTGGCTCACAGGCCAACCACTTGTTAACCCTTTGCTGTACGGGTTGCAGATGTCTAAAATACGCATGGTCAGTAAAAGTCTGTTCTTTCGTGAAACTCAGTGACCAAACGTAGAAAATTAACATCCATGTTAACATGCCAACTCTCATGATTTGGTTTTGTTTAGTTGACTACGAGTTTAGATTTTGTATGTGTTTTAATCCTCATTCTTCCCTGCCGTTGCTTGTGTTCTTTTAATGTTTCCCAGTTTAATCTTTAGTGTTTCCTGTTTTATTTTATATTCTGTTATCCTAGTGTTTCTCTATGTTCTAGTGTGTCTTGAACAATGTTTCATGATTTATTTTGTAGTTGTCCTCAGTGTTTCTTTTTGCCTCTGTGTTTCCCTACAGTGTTGATTGCCCTCATTGTCTTCACCTGTGTCATTAGTCTCACCTGTGTTTGATTATTCCTGTATCTTTTTAAGCCTCGTTTCCACCGAGCGTAGATCTGGTATGGATCAGTACAGTTTGGTACAGTTTGGTTCGGTAAAGCCTGATCCTGTTTGCACAGCCAACCGTAGTTGTCGTACTCTTTTTTGGTAGGTGGCGTGTAAGCTGGATGCCAATAGCCGCGCCAGCTACGTAATAGCGTAACATCATAGCAGAGTGACACAGTATACCCCGCTAATAAATTTGACGAAGAAGAACGCGACACAGTAAACAAAAAGCAACAATGGAGGACATCCAGCAATTCGTGGTCTTTCTCATTTGTTTGTGGTTCTTTGTTACAAAACGCAATGAAGCTTTGTTTCAGACAAGGATGTGTACTGAGAGGAAAAATACAGCCATCATTTATTACCGCTGTCGCAAAGGAAGTGACGATTTCTTCGACCAATCAACGGACTGCAGTGTTTAGCTCCAGCTTTTAGGGTCGGATCGGTAGACTTGGCACTCCAACAGAATGGTAGCAAAAAGTAGGACGGTAATTTGGGGACCATTACCGACTTTTGATAGTGGAAACACCACAAAATGTGTGCCGTACCATGATGAACCGAACTGCTTGGTGGAAACGGGGCTTTAGTCTCTGTGTTTCTTACCTTCTGTGTCAGATCATCGTATGTCGGTGTTAGTTGTAGAAGGGTTAGTCTACGTCAGTCGATGTCAGTCTTTCTCAGTGTTTCTTAATGCTTACTAGTTTTTGGATTTTCTCAGTTTGGACATTTTGATCGTAAGTTTGTTTGGTCTCTTTGGCTTTGTTTGTTTAAAATAAATCTTTTTTTTGGTTTCTACACTTATGTCGTCCTCTTAGTTTTTCCGGTTCATGACAGAATGATCTGACCACAAATGGACCCAGCTGATTTTTTTAGGTGTTACTCCAAGCCGTCTCCCTGGGAGGGGACAAGACCTGCTGTTCTCACTGGCACATGAGGTAGGAGGAGGGGCAGTAAGAGCTCAAAATGTCCTCAATCTATATCCTCAAGCTCTCTGGTGGATTTTCTGCTGGACCTCTACTTGGAGCCAGGGAGCTCCACAGAACCTCAGCCACAGCAGCCAGTGAACCAGCTCAAGCCTCAGCCCAAGCCTCAACCTGAGCCTCAGCCTCCCTGTGCCTCAGAGCCTCAGCCTCACTGTGTCTCTGTTACTGCAGAGCGCCGTCTGCCACCATTTCCGGCAGAGCGCTGTCTGCTTCCAGCCCCTGTTCCTGCAAAGCGCCCGTCTGCCACAAGTTCCGGCAGAGCGCCGTCTGCTTCCAGCTGCTGTTCCTGCAGAGCGCCGTCTGTCACAAGTTCCGGCGGAGCGCCGTCTGCTTCCAGCTGCTGTTCCTGCAGAGCGCCCGTCTGCCACAAGTTCCGGCGGAGCGCCATCTGCTTCCAGCTGCTGTTCCTGTAGAGCGCCGTCTGCCCTCTGTTCCTGTTTCTGCGGAGCGTCCTCTGCCCTGTTTTAATGAGCCATTCGCAGTTTCACTGTACCGGCCGTGTGTACTTAGACTTGCATGGCTTAATCTTTGAGACAAAACCATGTGGACTGAGAGCATCAAGTGAATTCATGAATACACATGTGACGGGTTAATTGAGAACATTGATGTTTATCAAGGGCACCCACAGGCCCTCTTCCTTATTACTGGGGACTTTAATCATGCCTCTCCTTCCTCTACCCTGCCCACCTTCACACAATATGTCATTTGCCACACCAGAGACAATAAAATACTGGACCTTTTCTATGCCAACACCAAGGAGGCATACACCTCATTTCCTCTCCCTCCCCTTGGAAGATCAGATCACAATCTGGTGTACCTCCTGCCTGTATACAAACCTCTGGTACACAGACAACTAGCTGTCACCCACACCCACAAGTCTATTAAAAGATGGTCCGATGAGACGGAAGAGGCTCTTAAGGACTGTTTTGAGACAACTGCATGGTAAGTGTTCTGTGATGACCATGGGGAGAACATTGACAGTCTCACACACTGCATTACAGACTATGTTAGCTTCAGTGTGGATCACACCGTACCCACCAGGACTGTACGTTGTTTTGCCAACAGCAAACCGTGGATTACTCCTGAAATAAAGGTCCTCCTCAAGGACTAAAAGAGGGCTTTTAGGTCAGGAGACAAGGAGGAGATGAAGACTGTGCAGAGAGAGCTGAGAAGGAAGATCAGGGAGGGGAAACGCATCTACAGGAGGAAGATGGAGGAACAGCTGCAGCAGAAGAATGTCAGCGGAGTCTGGAACGGCCTGAAAACTATTTCAGGTCACAAGGACTCCAACACTGAACTGGTTAGGGATCAGGAATGGGTGAATGACCTGAACACTTTCTTTAATAGATTTGAACAGCCATCCACCCCTCCCCCCTACCCATTCCACTCTGCTGCAACCACCACCGTCTGCCCCCGCTGCTGACTGCACCACCCCCACCTCACCCCCCCTGCACATCACTCTCTGCTCCCCCATTGTCATCTACCTCATGCAGAGATCTCTCTCACACCTGGAGAGGGCTGGGAGCACTGTGAGGATCATGTTCTATGATTTCTCCAGTGCTTTCAACACCATACAGCCCATGCTTCTGAGGGACAAGCTGGAACACACAGGAGTCGACCTGCACCTCACATCCTGGGTCCTGGACTATCTGACCAACCGGCCAGTTTGTGAGGACACGGGACTGTGTGTCTGACCAGGTCATCTGCAGCACAGGGGCCCCACAGGGGACCATTTTGGCTCCCTTCCTTTTCACCCTGTACACTGCAGACTTCTCCCACAAGACACCTAACTGTCACCTGCAGAACTTCTCTGATGACTCTGCCATTGTCGGCCTCATCACTGATGGGGACGAGGGGGAATACAAAGAACTCAACCTGGACTTTGTGGACTGGTGCCAACGGAACTGCCTCCAGATCAACACGGGTAAAACCAAAGAGCTGGTGGTGGACTTCCACAGGCCCAGACCCACTTCTCCCATACTGGTGAACATCCAGGGAAAGGACATTGACATAGTGGACTCTTATAAGTACCTGGATGTTCACCTGAACAATAAGCTGGAGTGGACTGATAACACACAAGCTCTCTACAAGAAAGGCCAGAGCAGACTTCATCTGCTGAGGAGACTCAGGTCCTTCGGTGTGCAGGGAGCACTCCTGAGGACTTTTTCTGACTCTGTGGTGGCATCAGCCATCCTGTACGGAGTGGTCTGCTGGAGCAGCAGCACTACAGCTGCAGACAGGAACAGACTGAACAAACTGGTGAAGAAGGCCAGCTCTGTCCTGGGCTGCCCCCTGGACCCTGTTGAGGTGTTGGGAGACAGAAGGATGATGGCAAAGCTATCATCCCTGATGGAGAACGTTTCCCACCCCCTGCATGGAACTGTAACAGCTCTGGGCAGCTCCTTCAGTGGCAGGCTTCGCCACCTGCGGTATCAGAAGGAGAGATACTGCAGGTCCTTCCTTCCTGCTGCAGTCAGACTGTTTAACCAAGCCTGCTCTCAGTAGATCACAAAACACACACAACAATTCACTCTGACATTGTGCAATAATAATGTTATATTAATGTTATATTATTTTTCCCAAATCCACTTTGTGCAATAACATGTTATACTTTATGTGCACTGTGTGCATGTCTGTGTTACACTGATTCTGACTACATTTTTGTCAAAACAGCAGCTCAGCTGATCTATTTTTTTATATTTTTTTATTTTTATTAAATCTATTTTTAGTATCTATCTATTTTTTTGGTACATTCTTAATTTTTCATTTTTATTTAAATTGTACTGTGTTAACTTTCTGTTTGCAATCTTTGCTCTTTGCTGCTGTAACACTGTAAATTTCCCCGTTGTGGGATAAATAAAGGATTATCTTATCTTATCTTATATTTTATACTTCCTCATGAATAATTGAACATAGAAACACGTCTCGCCCCTCACACTAATAAATTAAATGTTTAACTACGGTTTGTTAAGACAGTCTGACGTTTATCGTGATGCATCTGTAGGAGCAACAAAAGCATGAAGATGGATCATTGGTGGACACTTTATAATAACCACCTTTACTAAACAGTACATTTAGTGTACAACTGTGGCTCAGTTGGTAGAGTCGTCGTCTCAACCAGAAGGTCGAGGGTTCAATGCCCAACTGGGCAACATGTCCGATGTGTCTTTCAGCAAGACACCTAACCCCGAATTGCTCCCACTGCTTGGGTGGTGGTGTATGAATGGGATTTTTTACTTCTGATGGATGATACTACATAGCGACCACTACCATCAGTGTGTGAATGTGTAGGTGTGACATGTGATGTAAAAGCGCTTTGAGTAGTCTGAAAAGTCCATTTACATTGTTATTTTTAATTATTTTGTGTCAACGGTAAAACCCTGTCCCAAGTAAAGGCGCGGTCCCTTTTACTCATGTGTAGCTGCACGTTTTGACAAATCAAGGCCGCTCTCAGTCTCGATGCATTTACTTCCGATTAGCCATCAGATTACATATCTGGAGAAGAAAAAAAGACCTCAACATGTCCAAGACAGACAGAATTATGCTGCCGTGCGTGCCAGTCGTGCAGCAGGTTGGCAAATGATCTTAAAAAGCAAATGATTGATCCTGAGCGGGATTTGTTCATGGATATCCTAACTTTATGCACAGTTAAAGATTCTTAC